TCTCAGGGCAGCGGGCGGGAGAGGGAAGAATGGATTTAAGTTCCAAAAAAACAGATTTGGGTGGACAGTTGGCAAGGTGTGGGCAGGAGCAGCAGGACAGTGGACCTAGTTAGTCAGAGTTCGGGCAAAGAGCAGGCGGCTGTCCGTCAGGGATGCTGGGATCTGGATTCCCGCAGCGGGTTGGACTAGATCAGTGTTTCTCCAACGTGGCTGCTTTAAGATGGGTGGACTTCAACTCCCAGAATTCCCCATGCTGGCTGGGGAATTCTGGGAGTTGAAGTCCACCCATCTTAAAGCGGCCACGTTGGAGAAACACTGGATGAGATGGTTTCAGTGGACCCACCCCAGTTTGTGATTTCACAGTTGCAGTTGAAGGAGTGCAGAGTTTGGACCCAAAATGGGAAAAGGGCTTCGGGTTCAACGGTGCACTGGTCATATTGCTACAGCCCCCTTTAAAATATGGGATAGGTGCCATCTTAAAAGAGGGAAAGCTCAGTTCTTCCAAAGAAAGTATAAAGGGGGGGATTAGCCTGCTAGCTTATGAGACGCATCCTCTTGAGGACTAGCCCCTTTGTGCTCTTCAGTTGGCGAACCACCTTAGAAGTAACTCCGTAAGCTACGAAACGCCATTCCTTTGGGCCTCCCGGGCGTTGTTTTAACGTCTCTTTATTTCTCTCCATGGCGGCAGGGACTTCAACCAGGCCGCCGAAGCCGCCATCGAGCGCAAGAACGAGGGGGAGATGAACCTCATCCTCTCCAAGTGCACCGACGCCACCGTGGCGGCCAAGCTGGACCAGGCGAAGGCTCAGCTGGGGAAGAAATGAGCCCCTCTCTTCTCCAGCCTGTGGTTTCATTCTGACTGGCGCGGAGGGGCAAGACCCGAATCTGCTGGAGCCCTCCGCTCTGGCCCAGAAGCAGCTTTTGCAGCCTCCAGGGGCTTTGGACAGCAACCCCCATCCTCCCCAGCCAGCATGAGAGCTACTACTCGATGCATCTGGAAGGAGGGCACCAGGTTGGGGAAGGCAGGCCCCTCGTGAAAGAAGAGGAGGCTGGGGTCCTGCTGGGCTCCGGAGGATTTGATCCCTCGAGATGGGATGCCCTGAACGATGGACCCAAAGGGGCTGTGTTTGGGGTGAATGAGAAGAAATGCCCTGTTTCCTCCTCCCTCCCTCCCAGAACATTTCCCACTTTTTCGGCTCTTCTGCCTTGCTCGTTGCACTCCTGATGTTCCTCGGTATGGGTCAATATGGCTCTCCCCATCTTCTGGAGAGTCACCCCTTGGTGCTCTGTCCTTTTGGACTGGGTTTGGAGAATGGTGGCCTCTCTTTGCCTGGCTGGAAGGCACTTGGCATCTTGAATTGCAGCCCTGTAATTCAGTTGATTTGGGTTTGGTTGGTTGGTTGAATTCCTCTGTGTGAATTATGGAAGGAGGAATAATAATAATAATAATAATAATAAAAGGTTCCCCTTTTTCTTAGTATTTAGGGTCTTTTTCTATCTCGCCCTCCTCCAAAACTTTTTATTTTGGGTAAAGTCCAATCAGGTAATTTCAGGGATTGAAAACGGGCCATTTTCCTCGGCCCTGCATCATCGTTTGCACGCATATGGAACAAACAAGCCTACACTGCTTCTGAACACACACAGCTGCGGAGAGGGAACAAAGGTTTTGCTCGAGCATCACGAGCATCGTCACATCCTCCTGGGGGTGGTCCCCGCCCTTCCTTTGTTCTCCTCATCCACAGGTAAGAGGTCCCAATTTCAAAGCTTCTTTCCACGCATTTTTTCCCTCTCGTGTCCAGGAAGGGGAAGATAACGCAGAGCCACCTTGATGAAGAACAGCTGCACCCGAGGCAGAAGGGAGCTGTGGAACTCCCTTCCGCAAGACCCGGGGATGGCCGCCCATCGAAGCAGACCCAGCAGAGCTAGGCCTCCCCTCCGGTTTGGGAGAACCGCTGCGTCTGCAATGCAGGTGCTGAGAATATGAGCAGGGAAACGTGACGGAGGGGGCCTGCTCGGGGCAAGCACGGTGAAAGAAGACTTCTGGAAGGGAAGCCCCCCCCCCATCTGATCCAGCAGTGGGTGGAAAACTCCGAGAGAATCAAGCTTCAGTCCTGCGCCCCTGTAAATCCTGCAACACAGGGACATCTAATGGAGTCGATGAGCAATCGAGGCACCTTGGAAATAACTCTGCATTACTTTTTAGAATGCGTTTCTAAGGGAGGACAGAAGCTGGGTGTGAGTTGGGACAGTACCGTAGAAGCACCGGGTCCAGAAGCAGTCTATCCTAAGAGGCCAATTTCTGGGATGGGGAACCACAAAATGCTCCTTTTGGTTTTGCAGCATCTCCTGGACGCGTTTCCCAGCCTCTAGACGGAGCCTTGGTCTGAATGCACCAAGCAAGGTGGTTGAATAATCTGTCATCCCTAAAGACTCTTTTTCAACTCTGGAAGAATTAACCTAGAGCATTGTTTCTCAGCCTCAGCCGCTTTAAGATGTGTGGACTTCGACTCCCAGCATCCCCCAGCCAGCACTCTGGGAGTTGAAGTCCACCTGTCTTAAAGTGGCCAAGGTTGAGAAACCCTGCCCTAGGGTATCTTTTTGGACCTGCCTTCTAATACAGCTTGCTTCATCGCCAGATGCTGACGATGATCAGGTTAAGATGCTGCTGGGGGATGCTGGGAGTTGAAGTGCACACACCTTAAAAGCGGCTGAGGTTGAGAAACGCTGATCTAAACCGGTCGTAGCCATGGGGGTGGGGGGCCTTTGGGGTCCCCAGGAATTCGTACGCTAAGTGGAGCCTTCCGTTTCAGGAGCAGCATATCTGCAAGCCAGCTGCTGGGAGGGGGAACAGCAGGCCCCCCGGGGGAAGCAGGAGGCTTTTTAAGCATCAGGCTTAAAAAAAAAGGCGCCCCAGCGAAGGGAGGCTCCCAGGGCGGCTTCTGGGGGAAGGCGGCCCAGCCGCTCCGCTCCGCTCCGGCCCCGGGGCGCGTGCGCAGGCCGGACCGGGCTCGCGCATCCCCGGG